AATGATTCTATGATTCTATTCTATTCTATATTATAGGTATAGCAGGACACTGAATTTTCACACAGAAATGCAGTTCTGGCTGATGTCACACAGGCATCAGAAGTTCTGGCTAGAATGTAATGTATAAAATAAGTGTAGTTTTTGGAGGTTTAGGAGAAAGGATGGCTTTTTTTCAAGATTCCTAAAAACATTACAAGGATTTATTACGTCAATGTCAGAATTGAGTATAGACTTTCTGGTAAGTTGCTGTTAAAGCTCCTGGACTTTAGAAGGAGTAGTCTTACTGAAAGCAAAATAAATTAGACAGTGTTAAAAACAACGTAATTACCTGTGATAAGTCAGTAAACATTAGAGAGATGCTTAGGAATCTACCCCAAACAGCTCACTTATCACATCTTCATTTATTCCAAACAGGATGAATTAAACCAAGCTGACTCAGAAGTGGAAAACAGTAAACGCCGTTTGCAGCACTATGAAGACAAACAGAAAGAACACTTGGCTGGCATAAAAAGACATAAAGAATTACTAGCTGCCAAAGAAAAAGAATTAGAGGTAGATGTGGGGTTTTTCTCTTTATTGAAGTCAAATGGTCATGATCCTTCTAATATTTAGTAGTAAATCATTCCAATTGTACAACATACAGACCATATTAATACTCAGCTACACTGAGTATTCTCTCAGCTATGTCTTAAGCTGACTGTATCTAAATCAAGTAATTTTGTATAAATGAATCTAGGCCTCTTTTTGTCTGGCAGAGCAGCATTTCTGTCTTGACAGATAAGTTAGGGGTTATCCATCTAGGACTCTTTCTTCTGTATTTTGCAATGAAAACATTAAAATGACTTAACCTTAAAATTTGTGTTTTAAGTTCAATTGAATAATACTGTTTTGTTTTTTTGGATGCTAGTTTTTTCCTTGCACAGACCTCATACTTGATCTTTTGAAGACTTACCTAATCAAGATTTATTAACTAACTCTGAAATCACATCCACAAAGACTTTTGGAAGACTGTCCTATTTAAATATGGTGAATTTAGTTCCTTATTTATCTGTATTAGCTAAATAACTGTGAACATATTAAAGATCTCAGATGGTTACAGTTCTTAGCCCTGAAATAACTACCTATCTATAAATATGGTTAGTAAAATTGTTAGTGATAACTAGGTTTGCTGTGATAAGTACACAAAGAATGATACAAAAACATTGTTCTTGCTTGGAGACTTGTTTTTCCATAGCACAAAATATTTGTTGTGAAGACTAAACAGATTTTTTTAAAAATGTAACAATTAATTGAGTTTCAAACATTATTTCAGGAAAAAATTGCACAAGCTAGGCAGATCTACTCAGAGCGCATAGAGGTCAGCAGAACTGTTAAGAGTCTTGATGCAGAAATGAATCGCTTGAGAGAGAGGATAAATTCAGAAAATGATCGCCATGGAAACAGAGAAGAAATAGTACAGTAAGTCATCTTTAATGTCTAAAGTAGTTCAGGTAAGATGGAAAAGATAGGGGAAAAGTTTTCTTATTCATTCACAATGCATTTATATGTGTTTTTAGTACTTAAACCATGTACGAAGGTATGGAAACATGCTGTGCTGATTGCTCAGTCAACCAATACTGGACAGGCTGAGGACTGTTGAAATACCCTCTAGTGATTTTAGACAGTGTCTATACTATATGTATATGAAGTTACCAATAATCTTAGTGTTTAGATGAATCCCAATTATGACTACGAGCAAGCATAACCTGCCATTGTTCTGGGATGCAGTGGGTGTTAAGCATACTTTAGTTTGAATAACTAATGCATAAGTTAGGTAATTACTTGAGGTTTTGATTGCAGTGTATTTCGAGGAATCACTCACCTCAGATATTCTTGAGCATGGGGAGCCCAGTCATTCATTCATTTTTAGTGTAAGAGTTTCCTTTCAAAAGAATTAAAAATAGAAGTAAAATTTAATTTTTGACCACTTTTCGTTTGTGAACAGTGTCTTACTTGACACATCAAATGCTTTTAGCTTTAACATAGATCCTCACAAGAAAGTTTTTGTTTGAATGTTTTGATTATCAAATTTATTTTCAGCATTTACAACAATAGCTCAGTTTTAATGTAATGGATGTTGATCCTATACTTTCTATTAATTAAAACAGGCAATTTCATGATGCAAAGGAAAGATATGAGGATGCAAACAGTAAAGTAAGGAATTTAAAGAAATTTATTAGGCTGCTGGAAGAAATAATGACACAGAGATTCAAAATATATTGGCAATTCTTAAGGTGAGTTAATTTTACTGTAATTTCAGGTTTCAGATAAACTAATATGTAGATGTAAGTATGTGCCCATATTCCAGGGTGAAAATTATAGAGCAGACCTGTGAGAATGAGATATCTTTAAGGTGGTATTCACAACAATCTTTCTAACTTAATCGTGCTCCCAGATCCAATACTATCATGCCTGACAGTTTAGAGGCAGCCTGGACTGACAGCTGGAAAAACAATGTGATCAGTGGAGACTCTATTTTGCTTCATACCAAAGGCCTTGACTATGCTGACTTAATCCAAGGCAGTTCTGTTTCAGTGTTTCAGCACTGGTTTTGGTCAGCAAAATATCAGCAACATACTAGCATTGAAATCATCCAGACTGTCACTCCTTTTCATTGAGTATAATTAGTGGTGCTGTGCTCATGTAATTTCATTGTGGGCCAAACACTTCTTCTCTGCCCTGTACTGAAAAAAATTCAAGATCTTTATTCAGATTCTGCAATTTGACAGCTGCTACTGTCATGGAGTGTCCGTACTGGGAGTGCATCCCTTCTTTCTGGCTTCAGTCCCTTAGTATCCTATACCTATCAATGAAGATTTTGTGATGGCCTCCCTTCAAAAGGACTGATGGTCTGTTTTCCAGTGCAGTCCTTTATCGTTTATCATTCCTTTCAGCAGAAATTGAGGGATATCTGTGTTGGCTCTGCTTTTTGTACTTTTTGATCTGGGATTTGGAGGGGGTGCCAATATGATCCTGACAAATAGTAATGATCAGGAGAATCCCAAGCTTTGCAGGTGGAAGTCTGAAAATACTAGTGGGTAAGATTTACCTGCAGAATCTGGTGCTTGCCTTACAGTGCCCATATACGTCAAACTGAATCTTGTTCCTATTGCCCAAATATGAGTACGAATCCCACTCTAAGATGTGTTAAAGAACCATAGTTCTTTCTTGAAAGAATTGTGATGTATTGTCCATAGGGGAATTATATGCTAGAATTGGGGGGATGGGGGTGGGGGAAGAAATTAATATTTAACACTGTTTAATTCCTGGAGTATAGCAGAGTCCACGTAAATTCTTTACTATCCTTACTGTGCAGTCCTAAACTGGATAGGAAAGAAGTGGAATGTGGTCGTTTTCTGTTGAAGTTGTGGAAGAAGGGTGTAAAAAGCTTCCAGTCTATTGAAATGGTCTTCTAGAAAATACAAAGCCTGTGCTTTTGGATTTCTTACCTTGTAACTTTGTGTCAGTGATTCTCTCCAATGTGTCCTGTACTGAATGTCAACTGTTCAAGAATGTAATTGATTTGGGAAAATGTTATTAATGGAGCAGGGCTTAATATTTAAGATTATGAAGTGGAACTGTTGATAAAAATCTGTTGTCAGATTTTTGTATTGTATTGTAAAACTGACTGACCTAATGTTTATTTGCTTGATTTAACTGATTTAAGGCTCCTTTCTTTACGATGCAAACTCTACTTTGACCATTTATTACGTATTCGAGCTTGCTCTGGAAAAATAATTTTTGATCACAAGAATGAGACACTTTCAATAACAGTAAGTTATTTTATATTACTTTAATTACCATAATATGTAATGAAAATTTTTTTTTTTTTTAGTATCAGCTGCTAGAACATGTATTGCAAAGGACAGAATAAATTGTTCTCCCCTCTCCAGAATGTGATATGCTAAATTGTAGGATGTTGTTGAAAACAAGCAAGAACAAAAACCATATTACCACCTTATATAGGCAGGTTGCTAGATTACATAAATAAATTTGGTCTTATGCTGAAGATAAGAATTCACTAGCCGATCATCATAGTCAGTCTTTCAAAATTACTCATTCCTATTTCATTGATAGGAAGTTTGCCTTTATTTGTGTGATTGTATAATTGATTGGCTCTAGTTGTTACTTAAACAACATTTAATGGCTGAAAGCTTCAATATTATTTTTTTTCTGTGTATTCTGTAAGTTCGTATCTTTTAACATATCTCCCAAAAAGTTTTAGTCATGAGGGTATTTACTTTTGTTTCTGTGGGAGACTTCAGTTTTAGGAATTGAGGGGGAAAATGTGTAGTGACAACATATGTGTTGATACAGTCCTAATTAAACAGGTGAAGGATATGTATCTGAAGAACTCAAACTCAATCCATGAAACATCAAGTCATTACCTGGCTTTATCAGAATACTTTTATAGCTGATGTTTTATCTTTCTCATGCAAGAGATCTATATTTAGTCAAGGAAGGTAAATTAAAAAAAAGAAAACGCACCCGCTCTCCCTCCCCCACCCCCCTCAAAAAAAAAAAAAACACCAAAAGACCCCACTCCAAAATAATTCTTATTTTCCTGCTTAGCTTGTTAAAGGTAATATAATCAACAGGACAAGAAAATGCTTAAGTTTAATCTTAAAGGGGGAGTGCCACAAGGTGTCATCATAATCAGTGGAACCAAAGGACTGTTCACAATGTTTCATGTATTCCGGTAAAGAAACTGTTCCTCCTTTAAACTCCTGCTGTAAATCAGTTACCTGCTTTTCTATTGTAGATGGTAACCACTGGATTTTACTGTAACGTAAATACACTGGTTGACATTTGTTAAACATTGTTTAATAGCTATTAAAAATAGAGAATTGAATAAAAAAACACTGGCAGAGTCATTCAATCTGTTCAATGTATTTTACTGTGGTGGAGAAAGCTGCAGTGATCCTGGAAATGTGTTATGAAATGGTTAGGAGCTATCCCATTCCAGAATGGCAGTGCCAGTGGAGTGCATAAAATTGTTCTCAGGTGATCTGTTCATGTGTGATGTGTTTGCCATTAAAACTATGATTCTGTTAGTAAGTCTCCATCTCAGGTTTAAAAATTTTTCTAATATTTTTATTTCAAGGTTCAGCCTCGAGAGGAAGACAAAGCTGCCCTTAATGATGTGAGATCTTTATCAGGAGGTGAACGTTCCTTCTCAACAGTTTGTTTCATTCTTTCTCTGTGGTCCATTACCGAATCCCCTTTCAGATGCTTGGATGAATTTGATGTCTACATGGTATAGTTTGAACTTAAACTACATTTGCGGTTGTGACTTGTACGAATTAGTGAAATAGTTGGGTTGTTATTTGTATTTGGTTAGATTTTAAAACACTATAGTTAACTGTAAATAATAAATAAAAAAAAAAACCCAAACCCAAAAAACAAATCCCCCAAAACCCCCAAACAAAACTTGTTAGGGATCTTGTTCACTTTGCTTAGTGACTTTTGAAGCTTACTCTGTTTCTGAAGTTGGTACCCAGAGCAATGAGCATCTCTGTTACTTTACATGCTTAAACCTTAGTTTAGTGCAAAAATCATAAATACAACTTTTTATTAATTCCCCAAGCAGTTGTTACTGTGTTTGTCACAGGTTGCCTCTGCATATTGCTGTGGCAGTTCTGGGCTTAGCATGTGCTTTGGTTTCTACCAATTTTGAGATCAACGTGGTTTCTTCAGAGCAAGCGTAGCAATCAAATTCACTGTTGCTACACAGAAGCTTGTTTTATACTTCACCTAGTAGCATCTTTCCAAGATGCTGAAATGCAGAATAATGAATAGTAAATACTAATGTAAGCTAAAACTGATAAATCTCACCTTTGTGTACAGCTTCTCTGGATAGGCGATTAACCAATTTTTTTATATATTTTTATTTCATATCCTTCTTATTAATATGCAGTGTGGTATGGTTTGAGAAAAGAATTAGTTCTGTGAGACAAAGAGTCGTTACTGGATTCTTTCATTTTGCCTTCAGTGTCCCTTCCCTATCAATGATTTATTTACTGGGAATCACAGACCTAGAGGGGAAAAAAAGATAATACACTTTGTATATGAAGAATTTCAAAAAGGAAGGTATGCATCTAAGGTGGTCAAGCAGTCATTTTTCAGCCAACTTCCCAAGCTTAGATCCTCTTTTACAAGTTAGTTGTGCAGAAGTTTATCCACCTGTCCAGAAAAGGGTGGATACTTAAAACTGTAGGCCCTGCAGAGAACTTTCATGTCATCTGTTCCATAAATAATTCCACACAACTTGTCTTTCCACTGCTGTGCCAGTAAGTGCAACCTTACTGTCTCCACATTCTGTAGTTACTTTTGGTGTAATCCTGGAGACCCACCACGAGAGGACTCCATCAGCATATTTGCAAGGGAGACACCTGGTTTCATGTGTAACAATGTATAGAAGTAGAGCTTTGTTTAACCCCTGCTAATAATAGCTTCCCATTACACATCTTTTTCAGTAAGCCTAATGCATAAGATTGTGTTCAAAATAGTAGTAAAAATAATAACAATAACAATAATCATCATAATAAAAACAAGCTACATAATATCTTAGGTTTCATGCAGCCCTTAAATTCTTTTGGGTAATTTTGAGGCAGGATTTTATAGGAAACATTATTCTACTAAAATACAGTTCATTTCAGCATACCAATAAAGTAAGAATTACTACATGTATATCAAAGCTGATAGGAGTATGTGATTGTTCCAATAGAAACTTTCTATTGTGCGTGTATACTAAAAAGTAGAGTTTTAAGAATTTCCCAGACTATAGTTTGTAGCTTTTAGAATTTAACCGTAATGTTTCTCCAGCTTAGTTTTTATTAGACTTTTCTTTAGCTAAGCTTTACTGTATATTAATTAATTCCAGTGGGTTTTTCTATTAAGGTATTTTCTAAGTAATTTGTTCTTAAGCATTTGTCCTAATTTGTGCAATAATAGGCCAGTGAAGTACACAGTCAGTATCACTACCTGATAAATCTTTTGTCTTTAGGACATGGTTAACAGAAGAATTGCAATGGATATGATTCTTAAGGTGGCTGACTCTCAGCACCATCGACAGTTCATTTTGCTCACCCCACAAAGCATGAGGTAATAATGTGTTGTATTTCCTGGTACAAGAATTACAAGGAAGTTCTATTGCAAGGAGTATAACTTGAAAAAAGTAAATACGAGGAGAAAGAAATTTTGCTGTTTGTAGCAGTAGAACATCAACAACTAAGCAGTTCATTGCTGATGGTTCTGGGAATTTAATAGGTTTTTCACTCTTCTTTACGTAACATCTCTTAATATGGTAGTTCAGTGGGACTTGAATCAGTTTATCTTAAGTAGAACAGCTTTTTGAAATGTTTTATTGTGTAAAGTAGGCTCCTGGTAGCTTTTAGCCCTGTATCTCCCTCTCCCCTCCCAAAATTAACAGAAGACACTGCATTTTTCCATTTTTCCTATTAATACTACAGTACTTTCAGGAAGTCTGTCATTTGAGTTGATTTAATTTTTTTTTTTTAAATATTACTGATCTAGAAACTAATAACTTACTCCTTGTTTTCTTTTTTTTTTTTGATCTAGTAGCCCAAAATTCTTTAAAAACCTCCGTATAAGTCCCTGGCAAAGCTATGCCCAGCTTAAGGGGACAGTCACTGTCTAACCTTACACAGCCAACTCTTCTCTCTATTAGCCAAACGTAATCAGTGAAGCCTGCGTAGGATAATTAAGCAGTCTTCAAAATGAAGTTGATTTACTCTTAATTGTCTTCCCTTACTAAAATTTATAAAAAGTAGAATAATGGTATTCTACTTCTTGTTGTTTAAGTGGAAATGCTTAAGGGAGAATTTCTGAAACTGTATTCAATAAACATACAGGAATTTTCTGTATAGTTACTGTTTAAAAGTTTAATAATTTAAGTGCAGATTGGTTTTGTTATATTTTGTTACATGTTGCATGTTCAGCCAACATTTAACTTAACAAAAGTACAGAAGCACCTTCAGAAAAAACACATTTAGGTTAATCAGTGGAGAAGCATAAACATAAATGTATGTTTAGTAACTTTGCTCATTCTTAGTATAATGTGAGCGATTATACATGTATAAAATGTGTGCCACTTCAGGATCTGTAAGGCAAGTATGAACTGTATTCAATCATTATTTCGTTTGGAGTTTCTCTTAAAAGTACCTTTTCTATAATTAAGGTAGTCTAATTGTTAGAAATCACACGATTGAAGTCAGTCATTGTCTTCATCTCAAGCTTTTTACTGAAGTCTGGCTCCAGTATCAGTTCAGTGAAGCCAGAACTTCACCCCATGTTACTGTTTTTTAAAAGTGTCAAAGAAAAAAAAAGGAGTTATTTAAAGGAAAATATGCAATGGAAAGAATCAAATGGATAACTGGATAATACTAAAATTTGTGGAGACGAAACACTGCTTAAATGATGCATACTTTATTTTTAGTTCTCTGCCTACAAGTTCCCGTATTCGAATCCTCCGAATGCAAGACCCTGAAAGAGGCCAAAAAACATTGAATTTCCAAAATAGGAATGACAAAGAGGAAGATCAATAAGTATCTCTGTGTATGAATATGGCATACTATTGAGGATAAATGTGTAATGATGTGTGTAAAATCTGTATGCTGGATAAGAGGATCTTTTGTTAGATACCCTCAGAAAAAGATGATGTTCCTGTATTTTTTTTTTTAAGAATTACTGTATGTGTACAGACCAAGAATAAGCACAGTTTTGATAATGAGAAAATCCTGAATGTTCAGTTGATATTTTTGACTATCAACTAGTTAGAATTCTACTACCAACTAGCAGAATTTTTTATCAGTTGTTCTGTTTCTTCTTCTGGAAAATATGAAATATATTTTGTATAACTATGGAGTAATATTTTAATAAACAGTGAGAACTGATACTTGTGGTAATGTTTTAGTGTCTCCACACACTTAAAATTAGCATTAAGTTAAAAGTGTTGGTTTCTTCCTAGCTCTGCTTTGTTTCTTAAATGTGTGCTAATTAATACATTCAGTAAAACATGTGTTTCATTTTTTTCCAGTGGAATCACAGCAGCTGAACATGAGAAACTATTCGTACTTATACTTTCGTGTATACTTTCATAATTAGAGAAGTGATGAATTTATTTGTAGTATATTCTCTGGGCAGGAAGAAAGTGCTTTTATTTCTTCCTGAAGAGTTTATAGGGAAGAGTTTGAGTTTCTTTGCACACGAGCTTAAAAAACCTAGCAAATTGTGGCTTTATAAACTTAAATTCTTAATTCCAACAAACTAAGTTCTTGCACAGTCTGAGTTTGCAGGTATAGACTAAGTTTGTAGATATTAATTATATTGTAACAAACTAAAGTGACAGAAGTCCTTCCAACACAGACGAATGACCTGGAAGAAGAATTTTGGGAAATAATACAGTAACTTTTCTAAAGCATTGTAGGCCTGCGTTTTGTTGGGTGTCCCTGCCCCCCTCCCCTCTCACCCTCCCCCAGGACTACACTAGAATAGTTAAAATAAAATAAACTTGCTTTATTTAAATAATACAAGCACTTATTAGGGATAAGAGGGAGAAAGAAGAACCAGGTTTTTCAAACTGCCCCAAATTAACTTTTTTTTTCTCTTCTGTTCTCCTTTCTCCAGGAACTTGAAATTGTTGGGAGCTCTTCAAAAACAATCATTTTTTAGAGTTCAGCCATTAGACATACTTTTTTCTTTTTTCTTTTTTTTTTTTTTTTGGCTTTACGGGGATACAAAAGCCATTGAGACTATTCAGAGAACAGTTCTGCAGTTCCTACAGTTATTTACTGAACAGCAATTCCTCAATAAAACCTCATTGCAGTGTAAGTTTTAACTTGACTTTGTAGCCAAATTTGTTTTTAGCTGCTGCATGGTATTTTGTGTTCTTTAATGTTGTTTAGTTTTTACGCAAGCATGTATTAAACTTGTAGGTATTTCTAAAATATGGAAGCTAGTGCAGAATTGAAGGAAATACACCGAGAAAGCTAACTGCAGTTCTAGTGCATTCTAACTTTAGGAATTAAATCTAGTGATCTTTTAAAGGCTTCAGATATTTACTTCTGAAAGCCCGGGGTAATGGGCTAACAGACTCAGAGCAGCCTTGAGGAGGTTACTGACAAAACAGGGCTTTTTGTTGAAGTGTGTGGCAGAAGAGAGCCAGACAGTGGTTATATATGGAAGCGGGGAGGTTCTGGCTGGATAAACTGGGGGAGGGATTGTTCATGATGAAGTGAGGCATTTGAGCATGTTGTCCTGACAGGCTGTAGAATCTTCATCCTTGGAGGCTGTCAGGGTCTGAATAGGCTGTTGCACCTCCTTCAAGCAGGGGGTTGAACAAGACCTCTGGAGATGCCTACCAAATGAAACAATTCCATAATCCTGTGATTTGACAGAATATATATTAAAGATACTTACAACTTGTTTTAGGATTATGTGAAAATATTGGGGGGGGGAAAAAAAAGGGGGGGAACAACCATACAAGGTGCAAAACTTTGGAACACAAGCCCAGTTTGTTTGTACTGGGAGTCGTTGATACTATTCTATGATTGTGAACCACACATTCAGTTTGACTCGATTCTATAATAAAACTAGACAGACCCTTTTACAATATGAAATGATAGAGTGGCACTGCATTATTTCCTCCTGGTTTTCTTCAGCATCCAAAAAAATAAAGCAAGAGTGCAGAGGCAGGAGAGAGAAAAGCATTTATCTTCATTAGTACTTTTATAACGAGTTGTGTGGAGAAAAGAGCTTAAGGAAAATTATCGCGTTCCTACTGAGCTAACACTTCAGCTTTCTCCCAAGTTTTCTATAGACTTACTTGAAATATTGGAGCAGTCGGCAACAATACTGGTCTTTGGTTCAAATCAATATATTGTATTTATTCTAATCTACCACTGCACTTGATGAAAATGTGTGCCTGACTGTATAATTATTATAAGCAACCGTTTTCATGGTAGAGGATTAGTTCTGAATAAACAATTACTGAAGCACTTGCTTGGATGCACTTATTTTTGCAGTGATCCTACTAAGGTCTCAAAACGATCTTATTCTTGGTACTTTAAAAGCAGAGTTTATTATACCAGCTGCCTCGAGAGAGAACTGCAGTGTTGATGTTACATTCTGTGACTGTGAGCTGTTGGCCATTTTGGATGGCAATGCATTGCTTAATGCTGCATTAAAGTAAATGGAGCCTGTCCAGCTACATGAGGTGCAAGGAAATGTGGAATGAGGTACTGCTTCTCTAATAGGTATATGTAAACCAGAGAGGCATATATTCCCAGGACTATTCAACATCCTCTCTACAACTAGTAATTTAAGCCTAAGTGGAAACAATGGGCATATCATTCTCAGAAGTATGTAACATTTTCAGAATGTGTGTTTTATTTTTAAGTTACAGCCAAATGTACAAAGTATACCACTCTCTAATTTGCTAAGACTATTACCTGTGTAGTCTAAATAAAATTCTGGTATTAAAAAATGTAGTTGAAATTTCTGCCTTTTGCTGTTTGCTTGGAATATGAAGAAACTTAAATATGAGAGTATGGCTATGGTTGTACCAACAACTGATTCTGTGTTCCCCGCCCCCCCCTTCCCCCCATTTGTTAGGAAAATGTGTAAAACTGTTTTTCATTGCTTTTTTCCCCCCTCAATTTTGAGATGAGCTTCACTTTTTACATTTGAAAATACAGAGAATGATTTGGTTTGTGTCATGTTTTATTGTTTGATTTTTAGCTATTAAGAGTACTGTCTCATTGCTTCATAAGGTAGAGAAGAAATATCAAACATGCAATTGTAAGATGTTCAGACTTTTTTTGTAATCCTGCAAGCAACCAACTGTTTAGTGACTGGGAAATGTGATGTAGGAAAGGTTCTTTTTATCTGCAATTTCTGCAGTCTGCTAGTTCTCGATGCTTTCCCAGGGCTGTGCAGAACTTGTACTTGCCACAGTATAGAGATAAACTTGATGGATGGACATAGGATTAGGAGGAAGGTGGTTCCCTTCACTGTACTTCTCAATTGTCATAATTTTATGGTTAATTTATCAGTAATGATTTTTAACAACATGTCTGTTTATATTAAACCCGGGGTAGTTTAGTGTCATATAGTAAGAGGAACGACTCTTACTTAAGGAGGGAAAAACATTAGAAGACCAGGTTTAGGCCAAGCAAATGACCTGTATTTCACTTCCAGCTAGCTTAAAAAGCTACATAAGCACAGGTCTAGTAGGTATACTGTTAAATCTTAGCGTTAGCATTTTAGAGGATAAACAGCTGCTCTGCTGGTAAATGCAAGAACTACAACTTCTGGTTTCTCATAATATGACTCTCTGAGTGAGTGAGTGCAAAGAAGTTTTCTTCATGCTTTCATAATGAAATATGTATTTCCCAGTAGTAGAGTGACAGATAATTAAAGAGATTGAACTTTTTTTTTCCTATTACCGTGCTGAAGACATGAAATAAGAATTAGGGGAAAAGGTCAAATGTTATAAATTTATTTTGGGACATATATATTGCAACCTCTGTGGAAGCTTTTGAAAATTCAGGCAAAGATCAATACACTTCCAATAAAACCTTTAAACTTCCAATAAAACAATATTTTAAACATTA